CCCCCGATTTTTTTACATGGTCTGGAGAGGCACAAAGCATTTTGATTGATCCATCTCCGTCGGAGACGTCTCCGAATAGCTACTGCGAGCAGAAAGACCGTAGTCGAGATACACGACAAAAGCGGTCCCCTTACTCGAGAATCGAACCCGGTTCTCACGAGTCCCACAGCAAAAGTGCCTGACAACAGCTACACCAAAGACACTGGCCGCACTGTCAATTAGCTAACAAACAAACAAACAGACTAACACACAGACACACCAAACACTTGCATACACACAAACAAACAAACACACACACAAACAAACAAACAGACTGACAAACAAAAGCACTCACACATAAACAAACAAACAAACCAGATTGACAAACAAACACACCCACACAAAAACAAACAAATAAACACACAAACACACATAAACAAACAAACACAGGTACAAACAAACAAACACACACACAAACAAATACACACACAAACAAACAAATACACACACAAATAAACAAACAAAAACACACACAAACAAACAAACACACACACAAACAAACAAACACACACACACACACAAACAAACACACACAAACAAACAAACAAACATTCAGTCGCACGCACGTAACCTATAGGTGTCCTACAGAGGCCCGTTCGATCATTTAGTGGCCGCAGCGCCCTTTGAACTTACGTATTGACTCAATTAACCCTTATCCGTACGCCCTGGGGTCATTTTGTACCACCAGGGTTGTATTCTTCACATTTTAGAATACTTCTAGTAAGTGCGAAGATCTCTTTGAAACTTTTAGTATTTCTCAAAAAATCATTTTGACAGACTGCTATGCAAAGCGTACGGATCGGATTTTAACAAGTATATTTCCTCTTTGGAAAGTGATGGCAGAGTTCCCCAAGTCGTATGAATACGATAGTAAAACACGACGTACGGATAGGGTTAAATCAGCTTTTCCTGCGCCTTCCTTCCTCTATACTCCAGGGGACAGGCAGGTCCTTCGTTTTGTTTCAGTAAGTGTTTTACGGCACTTGCAACACAATCAGGTCATATAAGTGCCGAAGAATAGAGGTGGTACAAGAGAGTAACAAACATAGAAAAGAAGGCGGGGAGATAATAAAGACGATAGATGTTTGATAGGAAAGTAGCAAACCACACCAGAGCACCCGCCACCCACCCACGCAGATCCTTCCCTCTCCCACTCACTCACTCACGACCTCTACAGATCTCAGCACGGGCATTCCACGAGGGATCCCAGCGTGAAAAAGCCAAAGCAATAATCCCATAAGCCCATTAGCACAGGAGCGCCTAATCAGGCCATACACAACATATCAGCCTGCCTGCTTGGCTTGCCTATTAGACTATTACTTCAGGTTCTCTCTCTCTCTCTCTCTCTCTCTCTCTCTCTCTC